TCCAAAGGGTCCTGGAACACACCCTAGGACCCTAGAACCCTAGGGTGTGTTCCATAAGATGGACCTCTCCATAAGGCTCACCAAATTTAAGGAGAAGGAAGCAGATTATTTTTTACTGTTTTCTTCTAAAAATTTGGTGCGTCTTATGGGAAGGTGCGTCTTATGGAGCGAAAAATACAGTAATCAAAATAGAGCATAAAGAATGAGAATAGAAGAATTCTCCTGGATCAGCCTACAGAACCATCTAATGATTTCCATACAGTGTTGCCTCAACTTACAGACGTCCCTAGTTACAAAAATTTCGAGTTACGGAAAGCTCCAGCAGCAAAATTTTGGTTCGACTTGCGGACGGAGCTTCCACTTATGAAAGGAAAAATGCACTAAAGCCTAAGAGAATCACAATGTCTTGACCTGCCATGAAAGGACACACACAAAAGTGGCAACCCCAAATTCCCTTGGGAAAGAGTTCCACAGGCTGGGAGACACCACTAAGGGAACCCTGATGATCATAGGAGCTGCAGGAACAACCAGGGGGAGGAAGAATAGAGAAGGGCCAACGGGAGGAAATAAAAAGCAATGAGGGACAGAGACCTCCCGAGGTTCCCCGCCGCTCTGACTGCCCACGGGACTTAGCAAAAGGAAGGGCGAAGCAGGGATCAAAGCAGGGCAGGATCTCTTTCATCGCTGCTTCCCCCTCCTTTTGGGGCTTAGGAAGTGGTGGGGAAAGCAGTGATCCAAGTGATCCTGCAGCCATTTGATCGCTGCTTTTCCCCTCCTTTTGCTAAGCCTTGTGGGTCGTCTTATACAGCGGGGCATCTTATACATGGAAAAATATGGTACCAGAGGTAATAAAGACCACAAAAAATGCAAAAATGAAACAGTGGTAATCCACATTTTTGTCAAAAAAAGAGAGCCATGGACATGGACACACATATCCGTGCACGCGCACACACACATCGAACAGCTTCAGGTCTGTAATTTGCACCCTTTGAGGCGAGCACTGCACAGTGCTATGAATTCTTGGTTCTACTGTATATGGAATCCTCAACTTTAACACAATTATTTTTAAAAGCAGGCTGTGGATTTAGCACTGGATGTTTCCACTTTGTGACACAAGAAAGTGACCAATGAAGAAGGAAAATACAACCTAACCTGAAAATAAGCCCTGGTATGATTTTTCAGGATGCTCGTAATATAAGCCCTATCCCAAAAATAAGCCCCCAGTTAAGTGAAACCCCGCCCTCCACAATTGCGTAGCATTGTGCAGCAACCAAAAGATGATGACATGATTGTATTTGAATACATATAGATTGTTGTTTTTTGGAGCAAAAATTAATATAAGACCCTGTCTTATTTTCGGGGAAACATGGAACTACTAAACAGTCTGAATGTATTTACGCATGTTACACCACACATTTTCAGCTAAGGTTGTGAATTAAATTTAGTACATCATTTATACCATATTACTGTGGTTTATTGAGAACAAATTTCAGCTTTGAATCTACAGCTGTATTTCAGCTCCCAGCACCTCTAGCCCACATAGCCAATGATCATGATTCTGGGAGCTGTAGTCCCAGAATTATGTGACTCTTCCAAAAATATCTGAGGACTCGATGGTGAATTACTGTATTATTTAACTCATCCTCTCTTTCAAAAGATTTAAACAGTATATAAAACTGCCATAGCATACTTTCACATTCAGAAGTTGCATCTTTTTTCCTGAAAGCCTTACTGTTAAAAATGAGACAGTCAAACATCCTCATCTAAACAGCTCCATACTTGGAAGAAAAAATATTTCATATTTTCATACAAAGATGCTGAAGATGAGATGGCTGCTATGCATTATTCCTCAAATATACACAGATGGGAATTTCAAAAAACATTATTGTTTAATATAATTTGATATTGTAAGTTGCTTATTACCACTATAAAGGTCTTTAACAAGTATCAACAATCAGCACTAAATTTGGAGTGAACCTGTTGGATCAGTGTTGAAGGGACTCTCAATGTTGAAGGCAGAGCCACAGAGTCTCCTACCCTCCAGATTGTTTTGAACTGTAACTTCCACAATCCCGTACCACTGGTTGTGGCTTGTAGAAGCAGAAGTCTAAAACATCCCTATCTTGGCTCAAGATGCTAACTTCAGCTATTTGGTTTGATTCTTCGCATCAAAAACAAACAAACAAACAAACAAAACAAAACAGAAGAAAACTATTGTACTCACTTATTTCACTAGCAACCTGATCCAGTTTTTCTTGAGATCTGCTGATAAGAACTATCTTCATTCCACGCCTTGCTAACTAAAGAAAATAAGGGAGAGGTGTCAAAAGAGTCAGTTACAATTCTGTGGAATTATTTTATAAATTGCTATCACTATGTATACAAGAAATACAATCGCTGGATAGGATTCAAAGGTTTTAGTGTTGGAAGAAGAAAAATGTTTGGATGCAATTAATCTAGTTGTTTGGTCAAACTGAATTTAATGTACAGTGGTGCCTCGTATAATAAGTGCCCCGTTTAACGACAAATCCGCATACTGATGCGGATTTTGCGATCGGAAAAGCGATCGCATACCGATGTTGTCTATGGGGAAAAATCGCTTTGCGATGTTTTCCCCATAGGCACCATTTTCCCCCAGCTGAGCGGCGGGAGCCTCCCAAGGAGCGCTCCCGCAGCTCAGCTGGGGGAAATGCCTACGGT